TTGGAAGTTGGTTTGCCAACTGGGGCATCACAGGATGGTTGAGGTCTCTTGTGCTAGAAGGGGGATGGACTTTACTTATAATGTTAATCTAGATAACAGTCGAAGTTGTATGTTATCTTGTCTTCATAAGAGTATAGAAAGAGTCACATCCAAAGCCTGGTTTGTGCAAAAAGAGAAAGGGGGAATTGTTGATATATTTTATATATTAGTAAAGGCCTGTATGCACTGTATGCACAAACCAGCCTTTGAAATAAGTCGTGATATTAAAGGCTAAAGTCCTTGAAACCTTCATGCAGAAGAGAGAGTAAAGCAAAACAATATCCTTGTGTAAAAGAGAAAGAATGTAAACCTGTGTGTGTTAGCCAATCGTAACTTGCTCTGCCCGTGGACCCTGTAGAACCCTATAAAAGGTGTGCTAAAGATAGAAATAAACGGTGTTCATGTTTACTTCTGTGAAGACTGGTGAATAAACTGGCGGTCTCTCAAAAAACAAAGAATATAATTAACTAACAGGTCTGCTTTACTCAGTGCCATAGTAAATCCATGGTGAGTTTATGTCTCTGCTGAACCCGTGGGAGGGATGATTGCTAAGCTAGCTGGGATGAGCTGCAGCAAACAGAGCACCAATGCCAGGGAAGGGGACATTAATTATATGAAAGAGAGCTCTCACAGCAGCGGGACATTACAGGGCAAAAGGAACAGCTCATCCCTCAGACACTGAAGTGAGCAAACATACATCAGCTTGGGGTTTCTTGCCACTGTGAACCCTTCTCCTTCCTGCTATTCATTCCATGCTTTGGGATTTTCTTCTCTTCCAGTCCCCATATCAGCAGTACATATCACTGGCAAGCCTCTGACAGCAGCAGCAGCAAAGAGATGTCTGGTAGCAGGATATTCCCTGGGGACCCAGTGAGCCTGAGAGGAGATATGGGCTGGCCAGAGAATAACACACAGTCATTAGAAGGAGATGGCGAAGTATGTTAAATGACTACATAATAATTCTCCTGCTGCTTCTGTTTTCAGAGGAAGCACACATTTTATTGTAAAATTAAGTGTAACACCTGACAAAATAAAATTCCTCTCCTGCTTGAAAACATTATCCTTACTACAACTGTACTTCAACCTTACTATTCATGACTGAAGAGAATTTTTCTTTTCAAAAAGATTTAATACATCACAAACCAAGTCTCACTGTTTTCTCTCACGTAAAGCAATCACTTGGGAACAGAATGTAAATAATGACATATGCTTCAATAAATTAAGTGTTGAAGGACTCTTCAGAACACTTGAGAGGTGCCTGAAACTGAGAGCTTAGTGATAGAAAATCCAGATAAACCAGAGGAAGCATATACCAGGCGATATTGCCTGTTTTCTCCTATTTTCTCCTATTTTACCAGGAGATATTGATAGAAAATTGAAAGTATTAAATCGGAAAAAGCTGCCACAAGGTCAGGGGCAGGATGACAACTTCATACTACTTTCAATGAGCTTTCTGTAAAACTTCCATTAAAATTACAATTATCTGCATAGGTTTTTATGAGACGACTAAAACCAGAGCTTCCAAGAGCTCTAGAAAATAACAAAAGTGCTACTGTTTTGCAATAAATTTACAATCAAGGCAAAATGTTATGATGATACATTTATGGATGCACAAATGAGGGAACCAGGTAGTAATTAAAATGAAAATCAGAATGACTAAGCATCTATAAATTCAAGTTAATAATTAAGATGAGTGGGATTTGACAGAACATAATCACACACACAGAATCACACACAAAATTACTAGGTTAGAAGAGACCTTCAGGATCATTGAGTCCAACACAACCCAAACACCTCAACTAAACCGTGGCACCAAATGCCACCTCCAGTCTTTTTTTAAACATATCCAGGGATGGTGACTTCACCACCTCCTTGGGCAGACCATTCCAGTACTTTATTATTCTTTCTGTAAAATCTTTTTCCTAATATCCAACCTGTATTTCCCTTGGCACAGCTTATGACTCTGTCTCATTCTGTCAGCTGCTGTCTGGAGAAAGAGACCAACCTCACCTGCCCACAACCACCTTTCAGGGAGTTGTAGTGATAAGGTCACCCCTGAGTCTCCTTTTCTGCAGGCTAAACAACCCCAGCTCCCTCAGTTGTTCCTCACAGGGCTGCTGTTCTGAGCCCCTCACCAGCCTCATTGCCCTTCTCTGGATGAGCTCAAATGTCTCAACATCCTTCCTAAACTGAGGGGCCAGAACTGGATGCAGCACTCAAGGTATCTTCTCACCAGTGCCGTGTACAGGGGAAGAATGACTTCCCTGACATATTCCTGATCCAGGCCAGGATGCTGTTGGCCTTCTTGGCCACCAGGGCACACTGCTAGCTCACATTCAGTCAGCTGGAGGCCCGATAGCCAAGAGACAATGCTACCTACACTCATAGATATCCTTACAAGGTAGAACCTAAGGCAATCCTTGAGAAAACCAACCTCCAACAAATATGCTCCAGGATTTACAAGCCATCATGGATCTTCTTCATCAAAGGGTTTCTTCAAGGATGGTTTCCATAGATTGTGTTCAGAATGTCCATCTTACTTACCAGCTAATTAATTTTTCTTATCAAATATTAATCTTCTTCCTTGAAGTAATAATGAAAGAAGAGTGTTCCTCCTCTGTCTGTATTGGTCTGGTTCTTGTCCCATAATTGCTGTGAGTAGATGATGCCCCTGATGCACTGCTGCTTCTTTAGTTTTAATTTTTTTTCTCTCCCTTCTCTATTTCCAATGCAAAAGCCCACACCTCATCTCCTCCATGAGAGCTTGTTACTAGATACAGGATGGAAATAGCAACAGTCCTCAGGTTCTGATGGAAAATGCTATTGTTCAAGGTTCAGACTGACATCCCAAATGATTTCTGGATCATAGGTTTTTAATCAGTCATGTCTATTAAATCTGATTATCTCTTGGGAAGTTCTCACAATAGCACAGACACTAGAGTTGCTGATGTGCGTATTCAGGAGGAATTATTAAACCTGGCCATGTTCAGAAAATTAATGGATGAAGCACCTGCATGCCTGTCCCTTTCTTCACTAAAGACAGCCTAGAGATTCTTCTAGACACAGGGTAGCCTGAATCTGTACAAACATTCATGCAACCAGTACAAATCCCTCATGTGTGTCTGACCCCTCCCATCACCAGTCCTATATCCTCATTCTCACTAAGGGCTTAGAAATCAAACTCACTCCCAATCTATATTTCAGGTCACTTAGGAACTGGTGCAAAAAAAGGGGGAAAATAGTAAAATACAAAAACTTAATTAGTTCTACAAAGAAATTCACGCAGCCTGTTATCCAAGGATTGAAAGGAGGGAGGGCAATACGTCATAAATGTGAAAAATACATATAATCTATTTCCATATATATAACATGGACATATATTAGGTAATATACATAATGATAGATACTCCAATAGACACACACAATATTTACAGAAAATATTTCTAAGATATATATGTATATATATATGTAAAACAAAATGTTTCTGGAGGAAAAAACTGGAAGTGTGTGTCCAGTCTCAATATGCAGATAATCCAGTATCTCCAAGCCATTATTTACATTGCAGGATGCTGATACATTTTTCCAATTCATCCCTTTGGTACCACAGTGAGTTTTATGCAGCATATGTTTTTTAAGAACTGTGATTGGAACACAGGCTCCTGAAGTGGATACAAACACCAGCAGTGGCACAAACATAGCTTAGAAGCTCTACAAAGCTTGACACACAACAGGGCTCCCCTAAGCAGGGTTGGAACAACCCTCCCCATCTGAGACTTTCAGATCACTAGAAAAGCTCTAAAGCTCTAACACTAGTTTTCAAATAAATCACACACAGGATGTACATGGTTTTATATATACATCTATCTATATCTATTATACAAATTTATGTATACATACAAAATTTGAAAAAAAATATGTATGTATAAAAACATATACATCTATACAAATGTTATTGTTATCCAGACACTTTTATTTTTGCTAAATGCAATTACAAAACCTTCTTGTTTGGCCAAAATAATTCTTTTCAGTTCATAGTGTACTAGGTTTAGCTGGGAAAGTTTGTTTTGTGCACAGCAGCTGATATAGTGCTATGTTCAGGCTAGTGAGAAGAAGAGTGTTGGTCACACAGCCACACTTTCTTTAGCAGACCAGAGACATCCCATGCCATCTAGCATCATGTTCAGCAAGTAAGCTGGGGAGGAGGTTTTTCCAAGGTAATCATGGTGATCATTGCCTGGGACCAGGTGGACATCAGTTGGTTGATGGTTAGTGATTGCTTGTGCATCACTTGGTAGGGCTTTTCCACTTGTTTTTGTTCCCTTTCACTTATTTATATTCTGTATCTCTGTGGCAGCGGCCTCAGGGGAGACAAAGAGTTAACATTGTCGCACCCCAAACCCCTTGAGAAGGGCGGCCCAGGTGCTCTGATTGGGTTTGAGTACCTGGGGGTTTCTCCCTTGCTGTGCTTCTACTGGTCCCTGACCCTGAACTCCACCCTCAAAGGTGGGGACCACCCTTGGGAGTTCTGTCCCTCAAAAACCCCGGCTCTGCCTCTGTTCAGAGCTCTCTCTGTTCTGGACCTGAGTTTGTTCCTATGTTGAATAAATGGTTTCATGAATGGGAGCCCGTCTTGTTGGTGTTCCATGCTGGTCCTCAGAATCCTGCTGCTTCCCTGGACGAGATTCTGAGGTTGCTGACTGCAACGAATGGTGGAGAATGCGGGCATCCAGTGAAGCAAGAGAACAGCAGGACCCGGCTCCATGGACACCCCGTAAGTCCCCGGCTGATGGCTTGAGAACCTGCGAGACCCCCGCCTTGGAAAGGAGGACTCGAGAGTACCTGGCAGTAAGGCTGGGTTGGGAGTGCCTCAGAGGCATGGGGGAAGAAAAGGGCTTATGGAGGTGTGGGAGCCGAGACCAGACACTGGGACAAACACCTTGCATCACCCAACGAGACGTATTATGGATGATTATATTAACATTATGGACGATATCAACATTATGGACGATTCTATTAACATTATGGACGATTATGGATGGTATGGCTCTTCCAGTGGACTGTTTTTGTCTTCTGTGAAGTTTCTTTTTTTTTTTTTTTGGTGTATACCTCCCTGTACCTTCCCCTCTCCTCTGTTCCTAAGGGCAGGACAAAGGGTGAAAAATGCCAAGATGGCTCGGGGTTGCTGCCGACTCCCCGTCACCCGGTGTCTTTCTGCCATCCCATCCCCTGTTTTCCTGAAGGCAGGCAAGGGACGGAGAACATCCAGAGTGATGCGGGTCTGCTGCCATCTGTCCGCCATTCCGTGTCCTCCTTCCCCCCCCGTCTTTCCATATTCCCCGGTCTGGGAAAATCCATCCCGGCCTCCCCCCCCATCCCAAGATGGCGCCGGCCATGCGGTCTGGGATCCTTTGTTTCCCGCCTTGCTCCTTCTTTTCCGATCCCGAACCTTCCCTTCCCCCAGTAACTCCTGCTTCGCTCCCAGCCCTTTGTTCGGCTGCTCCACCCCTGGGGGCTGTGCCTGTTCCATGGTGGGCAACACCTCCTCCAGGGAAATTGAAACAGTAACCTGAGCTCCCAAAGCCAGTGTTCCACCGAGATCATCTAAAGAGGCGACGCCCACATGGGAGCTGGAGCCGCAGCTGGAGATTGAAGAATTCTGCCCCTCGTAAGAGGAGATCTAAGAGCTGCACCCTTCCTAAGAGAGAATCCTAAAGTGGAGACGACTGAACTAAAAAACCTTTATGTTTGTATTAAGTACCATCACTGTTTCCTTTGCCCGGTGTGGTCCAAGATTTAAGTGTTTGTTTTTAATTTTGTTTTTTTCTGTTTGCTTAATGTGTTTTGTTACTGAGTTTTTGGTGTCCCACAAAGCAAAGCGGGTGCTCTGTGGAGGAGGTGAGATTTTAAGGTGTATGTTTAGAAACATCTTAAGCTCCTAATTAAAATTTGGAAAAAAAAAAAGAAAAAAGAGTAGATGCGGCAGCGGCCTCAGGGGAGACAAAGAGTTACATTGTCCCACCCCAAACCCCTTGAGAAGGGCGGCCCAGGTGTTCTGATTGGGTTTGAGTCCCTGGAGGTTTCTCCCTTGCTGTGCTTCTACTGGTCCCTGACCCTGAATTCCACCCTCAAAGGTGGGGACCACCCTTGGGAGTTCTGTCCCTCAAAAACCCCGGCTCTGCCTTTGTTCGGGGCTCTCTGTTCTGGACCTGAGTTTGTTCCTATGTTGAAAAAATGGTTTTATAAACGGGAGCCCATCTCAGTTGGTGTTCCATGCTGGTCCCCAGAATCCTGCTGCTTCCCTGGATGAGATCCTGAGGTTGCTGACTGCAACATATCTCAACCTGCAAGGCTTTGTTGGTTTTTCCTCACTTTTGCCCTGTTGCCCTTACAGTTCTCTTTTCCATCCCACTGTGGGACACGAGTGAGCAGGTGAGTAGGGGCTCACCTGCTCACAGTCTGCCCAGCACAGCCAGGTAAGGACATGGCTTGGCAGCATGAAGCAACCTCCTCACACAAGGCAATACCGCTGCTTCAGCATCCTCCACACCTACAGATCAAGGAAGGGAGTAATCATAGGGTAGGGCAAAATAAAAACTTCTACATGGCAGCAGAAGTGATGTCTAAAGCAACAGCATTTATAAAAACAGACTTTGAGGATACTCTGTAGACTGACTCTTCAAAAGTCAGTTGTTCCTAAAATTATTCTTGAACAATCAGCAGTAGACATTGTTGAAGAACTTTTGTTTAACATTACATTCCATGCTGTGTGTCAATCTTTGATCCACTGACACGAGTGGGAAGAAACTCCTGAGTTTGCAAATCCTGATGCCAGTCATGAAGGACAGACTGCCATGTCACAACCTAGCTCATGTATTTCCCAAGGTCTCTTTAAAACCAGGTAATGCACTGGCCTGCACAGGTGCCACTGGAGGGTTTGCCTTATTGATGGTTCTTAACTACCTCATTTGTATAGGAAATATTCTTCAAATGGGAGGAGAAATATACTTACCCTTTCAATCATACATGGGCTTGGGGTGTGGGATATGTTGCTTTTCCTTGTCATTGGCCAAGACCCTGCTCCTCTGATAACAAGGAACCTCTAATTAACACTTGGCTGGTTTCTATCAATTCACTCATGCAGTGCTCCCTCCTCCTTTCAGAGTGGTCTTACCCGTGTCTTATATAGGACACTTCCAGTAACACATCTCTAGAGATGCCTTTTCCCCCATGTGAGAAACAACGCTCACTTTTAAAAGTTTCAAAGGTTTATTAAAACTTTAACAAAATACAACAAACGACTGAATAAGGAGAAAATTACAGTGCTGGGAGCATTGAATTAGACCACCATGTGCTCACCCACAAAATGGCTGTTCTGCTTTTTATATCCTTGGTGTTGCAGCAGGCAAGCCTGGCCCCACCCACAGTTTGTCAGTCAACTCTTCTTCACCATCCCTTGGTGGAGACTTCTTTCTTGGAACTTGATCGGAGGTCAGGTGTTGTCAGGCCGTGCCTCCCTAGTAACAAGCCTTTCCTATTCACAAATGCCTCATTACCAAGATTACCAAGGCCATCCCTTGGCAACCATACCAAAAAGGGGAACTATGGAGGGAACAGAGATGTCTAAATAAAAAAATCACAATAACATAACTATACATCAATATCAATTCTCTTAACATACATGACATAAATGATGGGCTAGGAGACCTTCTGCTCCTTTTTCCAAGCCTTTATTAAAAGAAGAAAGAGCTTGTCACTTTGTTAGACATGAAATTATTCACACGGACGCAGCTCAAGGTGTGGTAAAAGAAGAATTTTCATTTATTTGCTCTTTCAGTATTTATAGGTTTCCAGCCACGACCAGGGATTGGATAGTCAGGTTAACACCTCAACTGCACTGGCTGTGAGAGACAACTATCAAAAGGCATATCTTTAATGGAATGTATAAACACCTATGTTTATAGTTACTTTCCTGGGAAAGTGGCTAGAACTTGTGAAAAACAATATCAAAAGGCCTGATTCTCAGGGCAACAAGGGCCTAGAGGTGGGGGCTCAGGGTGTGCGCTGCCTCCACTGCTCCCAATGGTCAACATCCAGGAGGAAGATTACACAGGCTTGTCGTCATTAGCCATCAGAAGGACCGGAGTCTCTGTCCTCACAGGGATTGTCCAGAGACCACTCTTATGGTTTGATAGCCCAGGGGAGTCTTCCAGCTCAAGCGCTGCTGAGGTCATGGTGACCGGTTTGTTGGGCTGAGACTGATGTATCCAGCCTCCTCGGGTCCTTGCTACCTCCATAGTGTGGTTTCTAGGTGTTCTCTGAGAGTGGCTCGTTGTCCAAGACTGCCTTTATTCACAGGTGTTAAAATGATTTTAATATAAGCAAGTGTGCAAGTCCTTATGTGGAATGCGGAAGTTTATTCTGGGGAGCAGCAGCTAAATTACCCAACGAGTTGGAAGAGAACAAGGGGGGTACAAAACTTTTAACAATGAACCTTTGGAGCTGACCATACTAAGCACCTTAACCAGGGACATAAACCAGGATTAGAACAGGAACATGGGTAAACAAACTTAAATTTGAACATCAGTTTTTGTTTATAGCAATACACATAATATTCATCCCTTAAGTGTGAGAGCCAACCATCACATTATCCATCTATAACACCCCAGAACATCATATTTTGGACTCCTGACCAGTTTATGATGTATTAAAAACCAGTTTCTTCTGTACTGCTGTTCCCACCCTGGATTTACCACCTGATTCCTTCCTTTCATATTGGCAGTCTCATTCTTGTTACAAAATTGCCTCTCTCTGACCCAGGTCAGTTCCTCCAATTTATCTCACTGTTTTGACTCCTTTTCCCTCAGTATCCCCCTTTCCGTTGTGACTCACCCCTGGGAGAGGCCCAGCCCTACACTGCCTGTGTGTGCTGACTGGGGGCCACAGCTCAATCATGGCAGCGGCAGAATGCGGTGAGCATGGAGGGCAGTGGGAGGCTGCAGGTCGTACCAGGCCCCATGCACCCAGGGCCCAGCTGGGGCCTGGCAGGACCTGGGGGAGGGCTGTGATGGAAGGGTGAGGAGGGTCTGCTCTGCCTCAGCCTCTTACAGGTTCATCTGTGCTGCTCTTCAACTGCCTTCTCACTTTGAGCTCCTGCTTTGACATTCCCAGTGTCCTGCAGCAGCAGTTCCAGGGCATGAGTGCCAGGGGTTAGTTTTGGGTGTAAGTGCTCAGCCTTATGCTGAAAGGAGCTGAACCAGAAAAACAGAGGCACTGGCAGTGGAGTTTCCAAACCTTTTCCAGTGGTGTCACTACTGGAGTCATGCTCCAGGGTCTTACCTCCCAGATGCTGGGGGTGAATGTTTATTACAGGCATATGCATTATGGAGATGCATGAGCCAGGGCAAGCCCTGAAGGGTTTGAGATTTCTCTGCTGTTGCTAGGAATGTGACACCTGCCCTTGCAGGGGTTGTTGGCTCCCTGTCACTGCACCAACAAAGGCCAGCCAGGACTTCACACCACTTGTGAGAAACAATGTTCACTTTCCTGGTAAATTTTAAAAGATTTAATAGAAAAAGACAGTAGGAAACAAAGACAATAAAGCAAAGGGTTAAAAAAGCCAGGTGCTTGGCACTTTGCCAAGAACATACCTGGTGTTTTGGAAACACCCTTTATATACCATTTCTATTGCATTAACCTGATGCATATTCATAGACTTCATGCATATTCAAACTCTTCTAATAACTAGTTTACGTTTTCCAGAAACTGTTTAGCATGGCCATTCCTTGGGTCCACCTTTTTAGAGCATGCGTGTTTCTTGGCTTGTGGTTTTAATCCTCTTCTTATCACCTCTGAATTTGGGCCTTGGCTCCTTCTTTCCACAGACAGTGAGTGTTGACAGCAGCAGGGTCCCCATCATCTGTTCACTGGAGGTTATCCTAACTAGTCCTAACTATCCTAGCAGACAGTTCAAACATACTATATCGACTATTACAGCAAAGCCATTTTAACATTATACATATAGCATTCATCTTAATACTTGTGAAAAGTCAATATTATAACAAGTATTTATAACACTCTCCCTCTGTATCACAGAGGTAAATGCCTTAGGAGAGAGAGGCACAGAGGAGATCATGCCCTCTAGGTCATGTTCTGCAATGGACCTCAGAGCAGTCAGACACTATAGAGTTCAGAGTCCTCTTGAGAGTCCCCTGCCACTTACTCTGCCTCTCTAATCTCCCACCATAATTTCTCTATTTTCATGATTGCCAAGTCATTTTATAAAGAGACCAGTCTTTACAAAATGGAGAGTAAACTGATGAGGTTTATTGGTGTGTTTTGAGGTTGTTCTTGGTATAGGTGAGTAATGGGATGACTAACTTTTGCAGTTAAGGGATTGTGGAAAATGGAGTAACTCTTCAGGATTTTTAAAAAAATTTAATAGGGAATAAAATAAGAGACAAAAGTCCAGTGCTGGGGCGCTTCTGGCAAACAGCCAAAGAACACACCCTAGCTTTGAAACAGTTTATACTGTATTATTTCTGAGGCTTATGAATATTCATGTGTTTTATTATTCAAACTTCCTTTGGAACTATTTGTATTCCAGGTTCTCTTCTTGTTTGGTTTTTAACCTCTGACCTGCCTGCGGGATATTCTATAGACAAGGTATCCCGTGTTCCTATCCTGTTATTTCACACTTCAGATGCTTATGCTCTGGTTTTCAGCATTTTTGTCACATCAGTCCACAAATTAAAGGAAAATTATTGGTTTTGCACCATTCTTTAAGTTGGTTACACAGAGGTATTTTTAGTCTCTATTTTTAACAGTTTGCTAATGCCTACAAGACAATGTGTTTATTACATTTATTCATATAAACTATACAGTGTATATGTAAACTGACAGATTATACTATACAAAAGCAGTTAAAAGTAACTATAAATTGTACTATATCAAAACACTTGTGATACAAAAAGTTAATCTATAAATGCAAAAACCAATCTTATATTGCCATCTATGGAATGAATATTGTATGTATGTTAAGAGAAGCTTTGTTGATGTAAAGTTATGTTATTGTGGTTTGTTTAGATGCCCTCTGTTCTCCCTATAGTCCCCTTTTCCCTGCTCTGTATGGCTGTAACCTGACAGCCTGGGTTGTCCCGACAAGTGGAGAGAAGGCCTGTAATGGGAAAAGCTTGTTACTAGGGGGACACAGCATGAAAACATCTGACCTCCAATCAAGTTGCAAGAAGGTCTCCACCAATGGATGGTGAAGAAGAGTTGACTGACAGACTTTGGAAGGGGCCAGGGCTGCCTGATGCAACCCCCAGGGGTATAAAAGGCAAAGCAGCCATTTTGTTGATGAGGACATGGCAGGCAAGTTATGCCCTCCCAGCATGCTGTCTTTTTTCTTCTAAAATTTTAGAGTGAGCAGTTGTGGTAGCCAGGCCGGGTCTGCTGGTTAGACCTGGGAGGCTATGACCTTCCTAAAGAGAGCAGTCCAGCAAGAGGCAGCCTTCGGGGGGGTTCTCTAGCAATCCCTAGCCACCAGGGGGTTCTCTAGCAATCCCTAGCCACCAGGCAACCTCAGGCTGAAAGTGATTTCAGCTCAGTGATTTCCAGCTCAGCGTGCAAGCTTATTCCAGGCCGACTCAGAGACAGAAGTGTTGTGTGGCAATTTTACAGAGACAGCCTTTATTGTCCAGCAGCTGTGTGAAGGGTAGCCAGGGATGGTGGCTCCCTGCTGAACTGGGCAGAAGCTGGGGTTTTTATGGGGTGTTGTGGTTTTAAAGCAGCAACTAAAAAGTCACTAGAAAAGAGCAAAACAGGCTTAAAACTTAAAAGGAATAAAGGAAGTTTATTAACAAAGCTACAAGAATTAGAAAACCAGAATAAAACCTACAGAAAACCCTTTTTTCCCCCACTACTCAATCATTCTCTTGTTCACATGACAACATAGAGACAAAAAAAACTTGGGTGTTTGTAACAGTCCCAATTCTTGCCATAATCTTTCCATCAGTTTTTGTAGAGAAACAGAAGTCTTCTTCTGCTAATCTATGGAGTTTTTCACAAGAAAACTATTTTTGTTATGGCTTTCTATTTCCCTGATGTTAGCTGCTCGGAAATCTGCCATCAGTTGTCTCCTCCCATTTCACATCACTCTGAGGTGTGTTATGGGTGAAATGAGTCTAGGGATGTAATTTTTAAGGATGAGTTATTCAAAGGGAAAAATTCTCTTCATTTGTCTCTGTGAGCCTCTCTGGAAACAGAAGTTTTCTCTTTGCCTCTACAAAGCTACAAATCTTCAACTATTATTTCTCCCCCTCTGTTCCAACACCTCACTGTGTCACAATCACTTTACTTTTTGCTCAAAATCTACACTTTGAATTACTGTATTCCTCCCAATATACTCTGTCATGAATTAAAGGAGTTTTTTTCAGAACACTATTGTCTATTTCTATAGCTTTAACAGAGAAATATTTCAGTTTATTAAAGCATCTTCTTATTCTCTACTTCTTTTAAAGCTTAATTCCTTTCTTTACCATCTCTGATAGCTTATAAAGTCTCTTTACATGTTGATTACTCTCTCTTTCTCTCTCTGGAAAAAAGATTAATCTGCAAGTCTCATCTGGGTAATGAAAAGGTTAAAATCTTGCCCAGGCTTTGTAGATGGTTCTGTGATCTCTGCCGGAGCAGCAGCTGGAGTTGTCTGCGATGGAAGAGCCTTCATGGCTGCTCTGGAGAGTGTGGTCACTGTCTCAGCCCGCCGCAGCTCAAGAGCTTTTTCTTTCTTTCCTCGGCAGTTTGTGGTGAATTCAGTCACAGCAAAAACTGCAGCCGAGCCAGGGAGTGGCCTGGCCCGGCCAGAGCCCGGGGCAAGCCCCTCAGGCCCCATCTCCCGGCCGGGAGCCCGGCAGGCCCAGCCCAGCCCCTGCCCGGGCCGCATAGCCTGGGCAGGGGAATGAGAGTCCAGCTGGAGCTCTGTTACCTTTCACAGCCAGAAAACAAAAAGACAAAGAAATTCCCAAGCTTAAGTCTTAAGATGGTGTTCACAAGTTGATCTCACTTTTCAACAGTCAAAACTGCTGTCAGTTCTTAAAAATGGCCAGTTGTTGGCTGGGAGAAAAACTCCCAGCAGCCTCCAGCAGTTTTACCTTCTTTAAGTGTTTCTCTTTGTTTTCTTAAATGCCAATCACATGGCGGGAGGCCAGGGTTGCACCAGGGGGAAAATCAATGGGTTACAAAGGATCAGCATAGTCACCAAAGCATGGTGGGATAGCTCACCAAGAGAAGAGGGGATGGTCCCATCTAAGGGGTATCTCTCCTTAGGAGAGGGTTGGGATAAGCTTATCACAGCTCGCTCAGGGCACATTCCTCCAAAGGAAAACCTTGGTAGGCTCACCTTCCTCCACAGGAGGTTGTTTCTCACATTCTTTAGCTTTTTGACACAGAATGCCTTTGTTCTGACTTCAGCATGTCTGTTGAGGTTCGTGTTTTTTCCGTTTCTTCCTAGTCGGTGTTTTTGTTTTCTCTTTGCTTACCATGCTGGGATCATCCATCTTTGCTTTAGGCTTACACTTCAAGGCCTCGCCATACCTCCTCCTAATGATGTTAAAAGGAAGACAGCTCTTTATGGGTCACTTACTAGTAAGGAATTCACATTTACATGTTTTCAGATTTTCAGATTTACATCTCACCAAAGGGTCATGATACATTTTTGCCTTCTAGACCCTTGTCCTACCAGTCACCTTCACCTGCTCTTCACCAGGGACTTGTGTCGTTGGCAGACCACTGCTCCTTGATTTTATGTGTGCTGAAATGTTTAAATCTTCCCCTCTAACAAGTTTGTCCTTTTTCAAGAGTAGGGACTTGTTGCAATTTCGGAGACAGGCACACAACAGAACACACAGAAGTTCATGCGACAACAGCTGAAGTTTATTGTTGGGTGCTCCATTTTATAGGAACTTCAAATTTCCTGTGCTTACACATTTGATTGGTTGGGGTCTTAGCACCGCCCAGCTCACTGGCCAATTATATGTCTGCATTCATGATTCAAGGGGATTGGCTGGTGGCCCCTGTTCGAATTTTAATCAGACCTGTCATTATCATACCCAGGGACTTGTTTAGTACTATAATCTAACGAGCCAGACTGACGTGATTTCACTGCCTTTGAAGTTATTTTCGCTTGCCTTATAGGAGGGATAAGTTCACCTCCCATGCCCCTGCATGATTTAGTACATTTTTAAATGGACTGTGAGGCTAGCACATACCTCCTCTGGCACATGCCTCCTCTTGGTATGTGTAGAGCATCTCCCAGCCTGAGCTCTCTAGCTTGAGAGAGCTGTTGCTTCTGTGCCATTCTGTTGGTCAAGCCTGTCTGTTCAAGAGAAGATTTTTCTCTTTTCAAAGTTGTGCAGAATCATTACCATATTACCTGGTTCAAGGGGAAGGAAGCATTTAGATTGACTCCGTCTTTCTCCTGTCTTGGGAGTGTCCTCAATTTCTTCTTCATCCAGCAGTTTGAGACAAAGTTTGGAATGCAGTGGATACTCTGGGGAGGCAAATTTTTTTTGTGTTTTCTAGACCCAGGCCAGCCTGTCTTGTCCAATGATTAAAAGAAACTGAAAGAGGTAGTGAGGTTAAGCAGAAAGTGGCACATGATTTTCCAGATTTCCTTGTTGCTTTCTGTGTGCAATGAGTGGTGTTTTCTGCACGCATCCTAGAAAACCCGTTCTAACTCTCAGTGTCAGCCTGACAGTTTTGTTTTTTTGACATATTTTAACATCTTCAGTCACAGATAGTCAGTACTTAATATAGGAGTACTCCCATGGAATAGAAACTTTAGAGTGAGAGACAGGAATGAAATGTGTTTGTTATTCTGTACTTTGGCCAGCAGAACCTGCTGATTCTGCCAACAGTGTGTTTACTGGTCCCAGCAGAAGATGAATTGCACATGGCTGATTGAAACCACATGTTTATATTACTGTGAGAAGCAGAACCTGAATTGCACATTTCTTGGTTTGATTCGGTTCTAGGATTTGTATCTTTAGAAGATTTGAGCTTCTCCCCTCTTTTTGGTGCAGTGAGATGAGATCTACCTTAAGTGTAAGGAATGGGTTAAATGGCACCTGGGTACTCTGCTGGAACAGTGATGTTAGGGAGACTTGCTTCAGGACCTTCTTTGTGTACAAAGAGTATAGAAAAGTGTTATTTACAAAACAAGGCAGTATGGGCCATCACCCACAGAAAAGAGATACATCTCTTGCAGAAGTTGAAACTGATTGGTGTCCTCTGATTCCAGCTCTGAGAGAAAGCTGTGGTGGGCATGGGGTGTCACATCCTGTCTGACATTTATTTTTGTGCTCAGGCAGCATTTGCAAGTACAGCACAGTGACTTCTGTAGCCCTTTAAGGGATCAATACATTAGACGAAGTGTGCATTTGTCTCAGAGCTGTTTTGATTCTTTGGAAAACAAAATGGGTACAGAACTCCTTCTGAGAAGGATGTCTGCAGCAGATGAACACTGCCGAACTTGCTTCAGCTTAAGCAACATAACCAGACTCACTACCCTGGAGCTGCCTGTGCTCACAGACCAGATTGATGTGGTAACTGCAGCAGGTCACACCAATGAAGACCTACAGCCTGGCTTTCTGTAGAGCCATCATATGCCTTCCCTGCTCTGGGGACCAGGGAAGCTTCCCAATGTCTGCCTTGGGTTTATTGCACAGTTCTGCTGCAGGTCAGGAGCATTCTAATGATAGGCCAGCTGAGCTCTGCCTGAGAGACTCGAGTGGCTTTAGCCTCACTGACTTCAGGCAGTCCTGCAGCCATGGTAGTGATATGTGGATAGAAAGGACTCTGTAACTCACAGAGTAGTTATAAGAGTAGGTATGAATTTATTCAGTGCTGAGGTGCATGGGGGATATCTCCTCCAAAGGCACGCACACCTTGGAGATTTGTTTCTCCCTTTTTATTCTCTACAAACTAAAGTTACACAGTACGCTTAATACATATTCATTTGCTAACCCCACCTGTCCCTGCTTCATATTAAAATTAGTTCCACACCTATTTGCAGCTGTGCACTGCTCCTTGTTGGTCACCCTGGTGGTCTTCTGGGGGTCTTTGGGGCTGAAGTCAGCATTTTTCCTTCAGCTGAACTTTTTACCTTGTCTTCTTGTGCATGCTCCCTTCAGTTCTTTTGGCCCCCCCTCTTTCCATTTCTTCTGGCTTAGGGGTCCAAAAGAATCCAAGGAACCCCCTCATCCTATGGTGCATTTATGCTTGCATCCTGTTTATGTATTCCAGCTCCTTATTTCATCCTGTAGTCTTTATTCTCTTCCTGCTATTATGGGAACAGTCAGCATTTCACATGGGTTTTGTAGCCCCTTCTTTTACACAAGGCAATTTTATAAATGATTCCTAATTCTTAATTTCTCTGTTTCAGGAGCTCAGTGGGCAGAGCTCAGGGACTGTGACAGCATGGTGCAAGGTAAAGGATCCTACTCCGTTTTAAGAGAATCCAGGCTTAGGAGTCATGGAGAATTCAGCATTGTACATGCAGTGGATTTTTGTCATTCATTTCTCTCCACTCTGAGGAATTTCTAACACCTCTTGTTTTTCCAGGGAGTCTGCTCTGTGTGCTGGGGTTTGTTTCCGCCCTCACAGTCAGCATACTTGACAAAGTGGGGAACTGGACTTGGATGGTGTTGCGTTGCTGATGTTGGAGACAGGCATGTGACAAAACACACCAAGGGGTCATTCGACAACAGCCAACTTTTATTGAGTGCTAGTCTCCTTATACATCTTTGAAGGCCTGTGTGGTTAGTTCTGATTGGCTTGAACCAGTTGCCATCCTACCAACCAGCCAATAGCTGCCTGTGTCCCAGAAGGCCTAGGCCTGCTCCTGAACAGCCCAGACTGGTTGAGTTATATAAATCAAGGTAATTATATAATCAGTTGTGTTTTAGTTATAAAATTAGGATTATTTATAACTCTGAGGCCTTCAGGACAGCTGTTAGCCACCACAGTGTTATCCAGTAAGAATCCAAAAAAGTGTTATGTGGTGCTTTTTCATCTCTGTCCTGGAAATCTCTGGTGCAGGAGCACTGCCACCGAAGTGGCAGGGAAGGCTGCAGCAACAGGAGCCAGTCCTGGCCAGGAGAGGTGTCCTGGGGTGACTTTATGATGCTTGTATCCCCAGTCACCTTGTTTATGTTACATATTAAGTTCTGCACTTTTAAGACTGGCTCTGAGAGTGAAGTGGGGGAAGGAAGCAGTGTGCAGTTTGTGTCGATAAAGAGCCCTCACTCCTCCCCATCCTGCTCCTGGACTGTGCTCTCTGCAGCACGGACAGACAGTGGGACAGAGCTCTCCTTCGTCGTTAGTTAGGTTTTAGCTAGCTGAGGTAGAGAAGTTCCCTAGACTGTTTTTTCCCCCTTCTTACTGGATCTGTTCAGACCTGCTCTGGACTGAAAACCCAGACAAACCCTGGGAACTCATGCCTGTGGCTCACCGGGGCCTGGGCCTCAGCACTTTCCATCACTGGAGGGACTGATAAGTGACTGAGTGGGCCAAGCTACACCACATGAAAAGGACTTTTTCTGGATTTGCCATCTCATTGAACAGCAAGAGGTGTTATTGTTTAATATTATTCAATTTCTGTTAAATAAACAGTTTTTTCCATTTTTCTCCAAGGAAATATCTTCCCAAACCATTTGGGGGAGGGGCCACTTGAATTTGCTTTTTGGAAGGACCCCATTTGGAGGTTCTCTCCGAAATTTGCCCTAAACCAGGAGAAGGGCATTTGCACCCCTCGGTTCAACCCTGCAGAGCAGTGCTGAGAAGATCACATCTGTGAGCCACTAGCCAAGGGTTCCATTGCCTGGAGCCTTCCAGAGAGCTCAGGTAGCACTTGGAAGGGCAGTAGCTTTCTGAGCCAGTTACTTTCTGACTGTAAGTGGCTCAGAGGAGCATTTTGTTTACAAAACTAGCTGGTAGCCTCCCTCTGAACTGCTTTCTGGCTCACAGGATCCAGGATAGCAAATAGCTAATCTGGGCAGTACTGAACTCTCTTGCCAGCCCTAATCTTCAATTCCTCCTTGCATTCTGACTAGGAACTAGCACTACAAGCAACTCTGGTCTGCAATTTTTATGTCACTTTGATCTATTAGATGGCTTCCTTCTCATGAAAGTACTCTCAACTGGTTTCTGTAGTTGTCTTTCACCTAAGGACGTGCAGTGGACTTATAACAGATTGCTTTAAAACAGTATCTTGCAGCCAGAACCTTTATAAAAATAAGAAAGCTTTTTTGTTTTCTTTACTGGACAGTGTTAAAGAAGGAATGTTTTAGAGTCAGCACATCTCAAATTTCACTTAAGAGACGAATGAGCTGCCTTTCATTTCCCTTTTACATGCCATTACTTCTTAAATCTCTTGTGCCCTTCTGTGGCTTGCAGAAAGTGATATTGGTGTGAAGTCGGGCTATTTTCCTGGGGAGGGGGAGTACATTTTTGCTGCAGATTCAGGACATCCAGCACCTTCTCCTTCACTACTGGCTGCTGGTCCTCACCATCATGTTCTTCTTCCCCTTTGTGGCAGACATCAGGTACTGTTCTATGGTTGTGGCCCACTGACTGACATGAGCCAACAAAGCCTTGCAGGCCTCACTTTTGGGTGGACTGGGAAAGAGAGGGGTGAGTAATAGGCTTCTTCCTTCCACTTGTTTAATGTGGAGAAACATGCCTTTAACATCTAGAAGTTTGAGGGTTCTTCAACCTTTCCCTTCAAAGATGAGAGAAGCTTTTGAAAGACTGCAAAAATACCTTAAGGGAAAATGATTCATCCAATATTTAAAGCTTCAAACACTGCCAAAGGAGGATCAGAAGGATTTGGGAGAAGGGAAAAAATATGCCATTTGAAAAACAGCCCACAGACATTTCACCTTTGTGACAGACCAGCAAAGTAGGTGTCTCCTGAGCTGGGTGGGGTGGGGCGTCAACTCCACAGGCCTGGGGTAGCTCTGTCCTGCAGCTGCTGCACTCTGCTGTGTCTGGAACATAACTAGGCTTGCTCAGCCTGGGTTTGTACAAGAGGAAAGCTTTGTATCTGGTGAAAGCTTCTGACTTCCTTTTTAATGCTTGCCTTTGCTTAAAAGAAAGCAGCAACCTGGACATCTAAATTGCAATTCCTGCTTCTGTCCTGGGGCTCTGTCACACACTTGTTTTGCTGCTTTGCTCCCCTTTGTGGATGATATAGCAGCTTCTGTCATGTAATGTGAATGAACTTTTATATGTAAGGCCTGCAGTAAAAGAAATAAAGTAATTTTGGTAGTATTTCATTAGTGATTTAAAAGAGGCCACTGTGAAATCAGAAGGGAAGAAATGTCATCAGCATGACAGCTGATGTGAAGTAGCCATACAGGTAGCCAAATCAAGTTTTAAGTAGCTACAAGATATTTAAATAAACCTCTGTGTTAAACTGACTGACTAAATTCTATAAAGAATTTGAGGCAGTTTAATGAAATTTCTGCATGTCACTAACAAAGCTGAAAGGCTGGTTTTGACAGTGGGGTTTTTTCTTTGCTGTAACCCGGTCTCCTTAAAGGCATTTCCTGGGGCAAGTTCTAGTATTTCTCAAATGCAGATGTTCAATATAAATGCTGATCTTTGCTGCTAGATTATTTTTAAACTATGGTCCTGCCCCTCAGCATTCATCTCCTTGAACTGATAAGGCTTTTAGACTCTTAAAAGAGGATGTCAAAACTTCACCCGTTAGGTTTGGACAGGTGATGGCACATTGCTTCTGTGAACGGTGCTGATACAGGAAACACATGCTCCACTTTAAGCTGCAGTTTCACTCTGAACTTGCAGAAGTGTCTTGACAGTGTCTGAAAATACCAGCTCCTCTGTGGTGTGCACTAATTAAAAAGAAAGTAAACCACCAAAGGCTTGGCACTACAAACCAGAAGGAATCAAGCTTGTTTACAAGTCCCCTCATTCAAACCCTTCCTGCCCATATGCTTGTGCTCAAACTTACTTTCTATCAAAATAACCACTTCAAGAACACTAATTATTTTATTTTCTTGGCTTAATTTTATTTTTAGCAAGTATATCCAGGATAAATATTCTGGTTAAAATCAGCGGGCAGCTGCTTACATTTTTGGGGCAGTGTATGACATCTCCATCATTCTCTCCGCAGCAGTTAGCATATTAATTGTGAGTACACAAAACATGAAAAATTCACTAATAACTTGCTCCTGATTTTTTTTTGGAAATGTCTGCTACAGGCACTTCAAACAGAAGCGGGGGGGCTGTTCCACCTGTTGTAGCTGAACGAGGAGTCCTTTATATCTTTGCAAACTGCAGGATGCACCTTAACCTGACTTAAATTACAAGAAGTAACATTTCCCTGTTTTCACCTCTGTCCTATAATTGTGCTATGGCAGCATCAACCCATGGTACACGGCTGTGCGTTTTGGGAAGTCTGAGACTGAAACATAAAGGACTGGGATAAGCTTTGCAAGTGGATGGCAAAGGACAATCTGCATGCAATCAGGCCATGTTTTGTCAAATAAAATTCATTATTTCCATAATGATCAAGGTATAATGTTTTTCCTTCCCCTTTGTTAAAGCCTGGGATTTCATTTGAGTACCAGACACCTAGTAACATTTCAGTCTCAGTGCAGAAGTATGCAAGAGGTAGAACAGCTAATCTGCTACACTGCCAACAGCCAGGAAATGCCATGTCACTGCCACTCCTGCCAGCCCTCTTTTGCACAGCCCCATGTGCCACCACGACTCATGGGAAACAGGGGCCCCTGGAAGAGACTTTCTGTTCATTCCCTTCACCAGGACTTCACTGGACTGAGAGGTGTCCTTGCTGATGGCTGTCCCCTGTTGACTCTGCCAGTCTTTGCTTTCCTGGCATTCCCATCTGTGCCTCTGCTGGTCTGTATCATCTGGCTGGGGATCACTTACTCCTTTGCTGCAGTGAGTACAGTCCCCCACTGTCTCTGGGTGTATTGCAGCTACACTCCTACATCTGGATGGCATATTACTGCTGCCCTGGTATCCTGCTAAGCAGGTTTCACAGCCACAGGTTGAAGTCACTGGCTCTACAAGCCTGAAGTTGTGGGAACCTAGTTAGATGGGCAGATCATACCCTGAACAGAGTTCCTAGCATGAAGGGAATAAACCTGAAGCCTTGAGAGATGGGGTGCTGGGGGGATGCTGATAGAATCATCCTACCTAGACTTATAAGGTCAAAACATTGTCCTGTGGCTGCGATTGGCTATTTCTCCCCAGGTAACCCTAGGTATTGTGAAACCCACCATGCCCCTGCATCTTTGGAAGCTGCCCCTCAGACCATGCAGTCTCTCTATGAACATTAAAATCTATCTTGGGCAATTCCATCAAACCCAACCCATTATCATTGCCATGCCGCCCGGCTGGGTCAGCCCGAAATCACAGAGCTGACTGTGATATGAAGTCTTTGCTTAGTGACAAATAACCTTAAAGAATCAACAATGGACCAGAAAGGCAGAGCACAGAGCAAACAGAGTTTGAACATCTCCATGAATAGAGACTCTGCAGCCTCTCTGGGCCACCTGTCCCAGTGTCTGACCCCTTGCAGGAAAAATGTGCGTCCTTGTGTTCAGATGGAATTCTGTGTGGTTTCTCTTGTGCCCATTGCCACCTGTCCAGAGCAGAGTCTGGATCCCTCATCCTTGCTCCCTCCCAGCAGGTACTTGAACACATTAGTCAGATCTCCCAGAGCCTTCTTCTCTCAGCCCCTCATCCTGTGACAGATGCTCTAGTCCCTTTATCACTTTTGTGGCCCATCCCCTAAATCACATCTGTCTTATTCTAGGGAGGTCAAAACTGCACACAGTGCTTCAGGTAAGAACTCATCAGCATTTTGACACAGCTGGCAAATCAGACTCCTGCTAGACTGTGGCTTCAAAATATCCTTAGGCCCCCACTTGCTGTACTATTCTTCAGTGCTGAAATCCTGCACTTGCATTTTTTCAGAGGAAAAATCCCATGATGAATTTCCAGCTGTAACTATGAAAAACCACATACAGCAGGGCTGTAAACTAATGTTGGAGACTTGTGAACAGAAGAAAATGTGTTCACAGCTGATTTATGTGCTAATACCCTGGCTTAAGAGCAGTGACTTCAGCCTGGTTTGCTGACTCCATCAGCTTTCTTAGTTAATGCCATGATGCAGCAGCTAAACTCAAAGGGGGTTGGTACTGCTACAAGTGCTGGGATAACCACTCAAAGTCCTGTACTTGCTCCTTCAAGGAAGAAGCTTGCTCAAAAGCCAGCCATTCCTGTTTGACATCCCACAATCTACCTTCAAATGACTAGAAAAGAAACTTCACTCTTCTATTTTGAAAAAGAGTTGTGACATACTTTCCTTAAAGTCTGCCAGTGGTTAACAAGGTTCTCATTGATGTAGCACCAAAGCCTGTCTGCTCTGCTGGGTGTCACAGCCTTCCTGTCCCACTCCTGTTTTCACTGCCTATATGGAGAACTTCTGTTAGCTAGAGAGAAACCATAGAACAATGGTTTTATAGAAACCATAGAACAATGATCCTTGCACTTGCTTATAAAAGCCCTACCCACAGAATCTGAAGATGTGGGGACATTCTGGTGACCTTTGGGTCTCTTGCACAAAGACCATCTTCAGGGTGGGAGGACTCTACTGGAGCTTCTCACAGGCAGAGTTCTTTCTGGACAGGCCACTCCTGTCTTTCAGCTCAAATGGATAAATCTTGAAGCTGACATAACAATAAGGAGGGAGATGATGACCCTTCCTGGAGCAGTACCTGCTCACCTCCACTGGGCACGCTGATTGCTTACTCAGCTTTTTTCAGTAATGACCCCCTGATGACCAGGAAGCCACCTGCACTTTGCCTGACTTCCCCATTTTTGCTGGACACCAGCACCCAATTTGCAGCTGGGATACCAGAGCTCAGCTCTGAGCTTTCAAAAAGGCAATTGCATGGCTCTCACACTTTGGTTGAGCTTGTCATTAATATGAAAGGGTGGCATTCACAAAGGTCAACATGCTGCAAGAAATGGAAGGAAACAATCAGGGATTTTTTTTGTTTAACTTTTGTAGTGTTGCACTGATTATGATTATAGGTAACGGAAACCCCCACGCCTTACAATGTCCCCAGCCTTAGACAACCCAGGCTTTAACATTTAAGCTGCACATATTCTCTGGCAGAACATTCCTCTTGCCAAAGACACCATAGATTGAAACATGTAAAGTATAGACTGAAGCCTTAAAGTGGATATTAGTTCAGGCAGTTCACACTGAGTTGGACTTGGATTGCCCTTCATGCCCAAGTGCTTGCTCCCAACAGCCAGAATGTTAAACATTGACACAGTAGAACACACATATATGTAAGTCTGTGGGAGGAGACAGTGGAGAAAAAGCCATCATCTTTATGATCTTTATGAAGAACCTGGCATAATGTTAAGTTCCTGTAACTTCAAGAGGCCCCTGTGTTTTTAATACACCTGAACACAGAGGCCTGTGGTTTTGGCTTAAGTGGCACGTAACACACCCAAGCAGCAGCAGAGGAGGGGTCATGAAACCAAAGGCAGCACAGCTACTATTTTAAGTATCTGTATATGTAGGAGGGAGGAGAAAGCAGTGGGTAAGAACACAATCAGAAGTCAGCTGAACCTAGAAAGGCTGGTAAGTAAAAGAAATTCCTGCATTCCTGCTGGCTATGTGAGAGTATTTTGACCTGTTTAAGGAAGAAGAGGTTTTCTTAGGAATATAAGGAAATTGAAAGAAAGGGAAAGCCAATTCAAGATGAGACTGTCTTTATTCCCAGAAGCAAGATAAAACTACAAAAATAATCAGGGCTGCTAATTTAGTCCAGTAATTTAAATCTGCCTCTTCCTGCTCACCAACTGTGTTCAAAGGGAGGAGTGGGAACAGCCTAGGCAGCCAGCTTTGCCTGCTGGGAGACTTCTGGGCATCAGTTTTTGGCCAGCAATGAATTATTACCCAGTCCACTTCTTGCACAGCTGATAACCAGTAATGACAGAAAAAGCTTACATATGACCAAGTCTCCCCACAGCCAGGATGCTGTGACTTGTCTTTGCTCCTTCAGAAACAATGGAAAATTCCAGCCTCAATGACAATCCATCACCTTTTTCAAAGGGAGGCGATACACGGTTTCAGCAGAGCTTCAAGCAGAAATTCAACAAGAGACACATCAGGGGCTTGGAAAAATCACTGGGTGACCACCTCTATCACAGAATCACCCAGGTAACCAGACTCTTGGACATCCACACACCATTAACATGGTGATCATATTGATCATAAGCAACTCTGACAACCTTCCAGGGAACATACTACAGCAGTAACTCATTTAGTACTTAAAAACTCACAGTAATGCTGCTTAAAACACCAACAGAGGACATTAATCTTCCTCATTGAAAGTGCAATGCAGGGTGTGATGCAGTGATGCAACAGTATCAGACAGTGCTTGCTTTAAAGGTTTTGCACAGTAGCCAGCAGTCTTCACAGGGAAAAACATGCATGATCTGGCTTAACTGGCACACATGGGTATCAGGAAGGATGACACACTGCAGCTGGGCTGTTCACTAGAGCCGTGAGGTCTTGTACAGGACAGGCACAGTGACACATTTAGGGACTAAGTACCAGATATGCCTAGAACCACATATGACTCACGAAAGTATGCAAGTCCTCCTTTAACCACTTCCTAGGCTAAGCTCACCATGGACACCATCATTTTCCTTCCCAGACTGAAACAGCAACTCAGAAAACATTCTATCCCAAGTGTTTAGCTACAAACCGGCAGTTCTGGGGAAAGCAATGAGGTAACGCACGCAGTTGCAAAGTGGAGCTATACTGCAGTCTACTGTAGGCTGCAGCTCAAAGGAAAGACGGTCCTTCGTTGCTAATGGGCTATGAAGGACATTGCCACATTCCCACATTATGCAGATCCTACCCAAACTGTACATGCTTCAGAGGAGAGTTCTGAATTGTAAATGGCTGAACACAGAAGTCACTGTAGGAGTGAGGGCTGGCTGAGAGGCTCTGAGAGCATCACAGCCTGGAAGTTCAGGGATGAATGCCAGACACACAACGATCTGGCTGAGAGGTCACTGTGTCCAGATCACCTAGAACTGCAATGTCAATAGCTGCAGTACCCTGCTCTGTCAGCCAATGCAGTCTGGCACATGAAAGGTGTTTTATGCACTCACTAGAAACATACAAATATTATGTGACTTCACATAAAGAATATGCCCTGCTCAAGGAGAATTACTGTGTTTTTCTGCAAATAGCCTGAAATATTTAAAATATTTAAATATTTGATTCTATTTACAATATTGCTGAAGAACATAACAGAATCCCACTGTGGTATCATGGAATGTAGTCCATAGAAAGGCATTAAGCTGATCTCTTGCTACCGTCCTATGCCATCACAGATAAGAGGTGTCTGTCTCACAGGAAGCCTTGAGCAGGATGTCACAGCTCCTGAGCACAGTCCCATGTACAGAAGGCCTGAAAATATACATGCAATCTTTCCCATTTCAGACCATAAAATTCACCAGTGTATCTATGGTGAAACAGAGTACTGACCAATTTATAAAATCAGGCATCTACAGCACACAATGAAGTAACAAAATACAGAAGTTTATTGATAACTGCATGTTCTGTCATTTGATTTCCAATCCCCTTATGTCCCAGAGAAATGCTCAGATCAATCTTACCTGAAGAGCTGAAAACACTGCTTAGATCCCAAAGAAAGAAATGCAAGAAAATTAACATAGTTAACTAATTTAAGGCCTAGTCAGAAGTTGCTTTTAAAAGACAGGCACTGAAGCCAATGTACAACAGGTACTAAAAGATGCCAAATGCTTGGTATTGCAGGTAGCATCCGCTACCAGAGCCTGCAATGTAGGAAGCGGCCTCTGGCTGACTTTTCTACATGACAGCTTCCTGTCAAGTACTGGAACAAGGAACTGGAATGGCTAATATGTCAGAGACTGAGCCAGAGGCTGGAGAGCACAGACTCAGGAAGAGCTGCTAAGAAATAAAAGTTTGGAAGTAACTTAAGTTGATTCCAGGGTTGCAGTTTGAACTACTGCCCTGTTTTCCTGGGAGGAAAATTAATAGGCAGCTCCAAACCAATCTGAAAGATACAAAGGCATTTAAATCCCTACTTGCGATGGCTGTTTCTCTCCTAGCACTGCCCTATATGTTTCGCTATTTGAAAAGGCAACTAAGTCTTAAAGCAGTCACCCACTGCTGCTGATACAGGGGAACTGCATGACCTAGGAAGCACAGAGAAGTTTAGCACCTGGCTCAGCACCCTGTCTCAATAGCAGCAGCTCCCAGGAAACATGGGCTAGAACAGCAGTGGATATACACAATAAGGCCACTTGTTCTTTTGTGTACCTGAACAACTCCTGTTTTGATATGTCACATTTAAAAGGTCTGTATTCAAGATATTTAATATTGAGCACCTACAGTTAACAGTCATATATATAGATATCAAAGCTCTGGATATGATCATAAAATCCATTCAGAGAACAAACCCTCTCCCAAAAACATCTGTGCAAACATTCACATCATGCAAATCAAACATGATTTACAATAGGTTTTGGTAATACAAACCTTCTGTTTGTGCTGGCTTTGTTTTTCCAACTAAGGTAATCTACAGCAAAATCAATTACTGCTCTAGGCTGGGGAGAACTTGCATAATTCTCCCAACCTTACCAACAAAAGTCAACAGGAGACAGTCAAAGGCAAAGGTAAGGCTGATGAAAGACAGGAGAATTCACTAACATACTCAGCACAGGCAAAACCAACAGGAAATTAACTGTGGTAGAGATAGGAGAACAGTCCTGATTTCCATGGGGAGCCAAGTGAACGCCAGTGCTGAAGATAAGCCCTTTCTACAGAGGCTGGGTCAGAGTGACCTGGCTGATACCTCAGTATATTCTCCATGGTAACTGTAAACTTCCACATTGCCTCTGTTCAAAGAGTACCATAAAGCTATTGTTTGCACCCACATCTTTACCAGAAAACATACAAGCACTAAACTAGAAGCACCTACATGAAACAGCATGTTGGACTGTCACATGTGAAGAGCCAGTCACAGTAATCTGCAAATTACTAAAGGCATCCAAAAGACCTGAATACCTGGGGAGGGGAAGACCACAATCTTTACAAACATATGATGGTTTATGAGTAAAAAGAAACTTTCAGCTTATTTTGTCCTTGTATCAGCAATCATGTGCTGCAAGCAAGAAAGGAGAAAAAGAAGCAATCACTGAAGACACTCTTAACCATGGCAGCACTACTTGTTCCAGTGGAAGATATTTATAGTCACATGACTGCAAGTCAGCACATGCTGTGAAGCTGCATCCCACTGCCTAGGGGAAAGCCCAGACTACCTGCTGTACTTCATTATCTTCAGGTGTGACTTCCAGGCCTCTTCCCATTCACAGTGTTTGACATGTTGGCTGAATGGATATGCCTGATTCCACAAGAGCATGCTGAACCACAAGCTAGCTAAGAACCTAGAAGTGTGAGGAACCCACCACTAAGTAGCACTGATTTTTCACAAAGTTACACTAACGTCGTGCTCTGCCACCCATCCAGGCAGGCCAATACTCATATCTTCCACAAGGCACCCATTCCCTCCCCAGCATGTCCTCCCCAAATCAACCAGTTATCCTTCCTACATACTCTAACATAACCCTCATCCATCTGCCTAAGAATCTATTCACAAGCAATAGTGTATAAACTGACCTCACCACCATAGACAACAGTTTCTCCATTAGTGACAGTGACACAATAACCCTAATAGAATGCAATGCTGGATTTCCCCCCTGGTGGATTGAGAACTTTGTTGTGTGAGCGTGGCCTTGGCCCTAGTCGGGGTTCGTGATTGTCTATCTTGGGTTCTGGCTCCTTCCATCGCTCCTCTTTGCTCAGAGCTTTTTTCTCGCCTCTGTCTTCCAGGTGTGGTTTGATATTTTCTGTAGCTGCATTAAAAAAAATAATTAGATCATCAGATCACTTACTATTCTGTAGTGCACAAAGTGCCTCATCTTCTGTGGGCTGCATTTTCCACATCTCCCATCCACAACATATCTAGGTTTCTCATTATCTGTTCATTTTTCCTGAAGGAAACATGTACTAAGAAAAGAATTTCACTTTTCACAAAAATTCCTCTCTTCCTTCATTAATCTTTCTAACAAGGATACGAAGACTAAGCAACACACCTTCAGAATTATTTTGGCAGTTGCAGGCAATTAAGTGCTACAATGTATCAATCAATCCTTTCATACTGACCTTGAAAGCAGGGTTCTCATCATTCTTTAACAGTTATCTCAGTAATAATATATTTTGTCAGTCAGCTGCTTAATATTTACAACTACAGAAGGCAAAAATTAACCATTTGAAGGAGATGGCAAGAGAGGAAGAGGTAACCTGATAACATGCTTTGCCATATACAAATTCCATACATATCTGTATATACACACATGGTATCAAGCAAAGTCTAAATGTACACACACAGAGTATCATGACTCACGCCTGTGTTCTCCTCAGTAACAAGAAGAGAACCATTTCCCTGGCACAAGCAATTAGATTTCTGACTAAACTTTTCAGTTATATTATCCTAAAAATATGAGACTAAGGCTAATGTTTAAGCAGAAGCTCAAGAAACTTCCTTATAGCTTATCTTCCCAAAAAGAACAAAGGAAAGAATTTATCTTGCTGACCTTCTAGCTTCTTTGGTATTTCCTCTTCTTTCAAGACAATGTGATCCTGCAAAGAAATCAAAAACTATCTTAGTGTATATTGCTCTCAAACAGCAAATCTGTCACAAATACTCCTTCTGGAAGTTTTGCTTCATTTCTAAGTTTATAGATCACTGATCAAACAAAAGTAAGCTGTGTGTAGCCCTTAATCCCTTCCATTTCTACAGAACCCCAAAAGCAGGGGCACAAATCTTCTATGTTACAGCAAGGTGCACATCTCAGACAGTTCATTGAAACATGAATGAAGAGGCTACATTAGATCACCAAAGTGGTAAGCACAGCAGTGGTGGGTTAATTGCCAGACAATTTTAGAGGTCTTCTCCAACCTTAAGGATTCATTGATTTTAACGTCGGGAATTAGGGTTCATCCTGTTCATCTGTTCATCCTGTCAAGCACCTGCTATCACATAGGAGAAGTTGGTACACACAACTACAATACAAGAAGCCCTTGAAGACCCTATTTGTATGCAGCAATCCCTGTCTTCAGCAAGTATCCCAACAGTCAGGTAATAATCAAAACATTTTAAGACCATTTCCCCAACAATCTGAATTGACTTGGAAATACAGACACACTTCAGAGAAGTATGCTTTCCCACCCATAAAACTCAATCTGCAGTAATTTTTTTAAGTATGTTGTCTTCTTTCCATCTCAGTTTCTCCCCACAATTCCAATGCTCTAACTAACGACATAAGAATTTCCACAATGTTGTCCTCCATTTAGTCAGGAATTCATGGGAATTAAAGTTATATTTCTATAAAAGTACCTAAAAAGAGTGATCATCCCAATAAAGGGGTACAGAGAAACAAAGAAAAGCCCTCTCCTACACCAACAGCACTACTCCTGCCAAAACCTAGCTCCCAATCTTGTTTTTCCTCCTCCTCCTCCTTTCATATGGTCCCAAATACTATTCAGAACATGCATAACAAGAAAGCACTCTACCAACACCTTAAATTTAAGGGGAAAAACACAAAGGCAAGAAAGTTAAATTGGACTGGTTCTTTCTTCCTAAGCTTCTAGGAAAAACTAGACTTGTAGTCAGCACAACGATAATTTCTGTCATGGTTCCAGCCAGTATGGGGTAATTTTTGCAGTGGCCAGGGAAGGCATGGCTGAGACCCGGAGCTTATTCTATGCCACATCATGTGCAGGGTGTGGGGGGAAGACGTTCCTTCTGGCCAGCAGTAGTGTGGCCGAGCGGCTGGGGTAGCACTGTGCTCCCTGTGGTAAGCACTCACGTGTGAAGTGTTCATCCTTCTTGTACACTCCATTACTAATTTTGTTGCTGTTACTGTTCTTTTTGTATCTCATTGCCATTTCCAGTAAATTGCTCTTATCTCAACCCATGATTTTTACCTTTTACCTCCAATTTCCCTCCCCAGTCACAGAAGGAAGGGGGAGGGGAGTGTGAGTGGAGCATGGTTTGGAGCATTTTCCATGGGAACACTGAACAGGGGAATACCATTCCTAAACCATGTCAGTTTCATAGAATGTTAAATTTCCATGCTATTTAACATGCCAAAAACATTATCACCATAATAGCTACTCACTTTTTAGTATTTACTTACAGTAAGGCAGCAAGTTGTAAATCTGCATATAGGTCACTTAAATACAGTAACTGGTACTGTATCCTGCTTTTTCCAAACCCAGATGTGGTCTTAACTACAAGCAACTCTTACACATCCCAGCTTCTAGAAAAAACTCAACTGTATAACCCATGTACAACAACTGTAACATTATACTAAGAGACTTTTGTGTCTCTTGTACAAATCAAGTACCTGCTCGGCCTGACACCACTGATCCCAAATTCACTTTTTCACTTAAGCTTAATCTGTTCAAGTGCTTTCAAGGTGACTGTAGATACATGTATTTAGGAGAGGTGAAGTGCACAACCAGGCCTCACAAAGGTTTATGACTGTAGCTCACCAGCTTCCCAAGTCTGCATCAAAATCACATCTGCCAAACCGCAGAATAAGGAGAAATATCTCCTCCCTATCCAGTTTAAATGCCTCTTGGCTCTGTCAAGAGCTCCAGCTGTACCTCACTTATATGAAAGATCAAAGGCTTTTTTATCTTCTTTTTTTTTTGAACACACATCCACAGTCTAATTAATACTTTCACAACAAACTGCAGAGATCTGATACACCCAAAATAATAAGCTATCAAAGAGACTTTAGGAATATGTCTAACTCAAAGTCACTCCATGCATACTCAGTTCTGTTCTTAGGGAGAGTGCAGGTACGTGAGAGAGCACAACAGGACCCTAGAGCTGCTGGCTTCTTGATCTGACAGCAACAGAAGTACAAATACCTTGGGTTTGTTCGGGTGTGCTCGCACAATGCTAGGAGAGACAGGAGACCCAAAGATATCACTTGTCTTCCCACCAGGTGGATTCATGCGTGGACGAAGCTGAGTAGAACTAGAATCCTCAAAAATGCCACTTTCTTTTCCTCCTGCAAGGCAGTTGTTAAGAATTTTTTTTCTACATTACTTTTTCACACTATAGTAAAAAAATAAAAAAATATATATAATTTAAGGACTTCTACAACCCTGCTGCCTATAGACTTGGTCTTATTTGCCTAGCTGAAATCCTTTATTACAATTCACCTGTGGTTCTCAAACTGAGCTAACTGCTGATACAGCTCTACAATAGAAGCTGTTTCATCAATTCATTTCCTTAATTTGGAAAGAATTAAGATTTGAATGACATGCTAAAAAGTCTGTGAACATACAGATCACTGAAATATTCATATATTCAGATGTTTGAAGAGATTTGATGTTCAACCCTACTCAGTATATAAAAATGCAACATAAAAAGACAGATCCCAGTGTCCCAGTTTAGGAACACAAAATCATTCTATGCCGCAATTCAGAACCCAATCACACAGAAAGAGGGGGCAGCTTTTACCTGGAGGGTTTGTTCTTTTTGGAATGTTCTGAGGTTGTTCTGATGCTCCAAAGATATTGGATGCCATCCGGTGTGGTCTGCTTGAAGAAGACATTTCTTCTGTACTCCCAAAAAGATTACTAGAGTCTCCCCCTGGGGGCTTCAATACTCTGTATTACAGAATGAGAAACAATATACAAAAGTTCATTTAAAATTTATAGCATTTAACATATTTGATGTCCCCTTCCCATTCTCTCCTTGTATGTAATTATCCTGATTTTAATTTACTTTAGGTAAAGTAAATTCTGTAAAATACTTCTGTAAAGTAGGTTCTGCTACATCCATGAAGTATTTAAATTTCAAGAGCTGTTTTAATATTCTTAAGTTCAGTACAAATATTGCCAACCTCCTGGTCAGTCAACTTGATCATTAAGGTATCTTATGATTACATGGAATGATCCTAACACTGCCACCTACACAAATGGCTATGCTGTCTGTGCTGTTCCAGAATTTCTTCACAGGGAGAATGGGATACTTCACTGGAATGGGCAGACCAGGGCAGTGGTAGAGTCATCATCCCTGGAGGTGTTCACAAAATGACTGAATGTGGCACTTAATGTTCTGGTCTAGTTAACAAACAGTCATACTTTGAACTCCATGATTTCAGAGGGCTTTTCCAACCTTAATGATTCTGGGATTCTGTATCAAAAATAATTTTTGCAGTTACATCTACCAATTACCCACAGTCTTAGCAGCTGAACAAAGGTAGTAGCTCAATTGTACTATTAATCTGAACCCTTTATCTGGAACCTAAAGTATCCTTTGCTTTTAAACCAAGAGAACAGTTACAAATTTCAAGATCTCGATCCTACCCAACCTGAATATAATTCAGATGTCAGCGAATTGTTACAACCCCTCCTCTCCCTAGCCCTGTTACAGCAGCACATCATTACAGGTGAGCTACACTGAGCATAAAATGAAGTTCCTCTTGGTGCCAAGATCTACTCCAGTTTAAGATTTAATTTCACAAAAATAGAGATATTTGGCTACTCTGTCAGAAAATGAGCTTTGTGTGCATTTCAGATCTCAAGATGCAGAAAGCAGTTTTAGGCCTTTTGGAAAGGAAGAGATAAAAGTTCCTATTTTAGTCTGGGGATAGTTTATATAGACAGTACTAGCCTCAAAGGGACCGTCTTTGCTGGCCAATTTCAATATTTTAATCTTTAGTACAACTGTGGATTTAATTAATGCCTTCAGCTTAAGGAGTAACTAGAATTTCAGCAGATAGGACGACTCCTTGTCCAAAGCACAGGTTAGATCATATAAAAGCTTATTTATTTACAATTTAGTGTCCAATGGACTACAGATCCACTAGCCTCTGTGCTCTCCATGTATTTTAGAAGACTTAAACCCACTATTAAAGCAGACACTGTATAGGTAAATTATGAATTTCAATAATTCACAATGGTCTAGAAATCATGATGCAGTTTAAGTATTTAAAGTGGGGAGACTGAAGGAAAAGGGAACTCTATAAAAAAGTAGTTTGGGAAGGGTCTCTGTTAAAATAGATTCCTCTTACATAATTTAAATTATTCTTGACTTTTTCTGTTCTTTTCAGTTATTTTTTAACTGCATTTAGTCTTCTTTGCATTCCAGCTACACTAAGTATACCAGCCAAGAGACTGAAAGGAAGTAAAAAGCTGTTTATACAGCTGGAGTCTCTTACACTCCAGATTTGCTCAATTTACCATGCTGTTTGCTTAACACATGCCTACAAGCAGAGGGGGGAATAATAATATAACTACACTCAGAATTTTTTTGGTTTAAGAAAAATAGCAAGTCATAAGAATCAAATTACTTCTCATTCCTGCAATGGGTTTTAATAGCTATGCAGAAAGAAATTCTTGAGAAAATCCATTTTGAGATTATAAATATTGATAATTCAGTAAAGAAACTTCATCAAAATAAATCCAATACTGATTAATCTTATACTGTCCTCTTATTTTCATCTTAGTATGACTAAGAAAACCATACTGTGGAACAAATTAACCAGAGGTATGGTTACCAGGTTAACCACATGATGCTTATAAGGTGGAAATCAAGTACAAGAGTACAAGAACCTCTTCTGCCAGCATCAAGCAAAATGATGTCTTTACATACACAATGTGGATTTACCACCTCAGTTTCAAGAATTTCAAAATGCTGGGAACCTCCCAAGCATTACATAAACTTTCATATGGCAGTGACTATGGCAGTGACAGCAGGTTAATAAAATTTGAACTAATACAAAGTCAGATAACTAAGTCATTCACAGGAATTACCAAAAATAACCTTGAAATACAGCAACAAAGTCTGTCAGCTGATACTAATAAAGAGGTCAGGGCTTTGCGCTCATTCCCTCCAACCAAATATGTGGGAGACTACAAAGCTATTTTCTTGTTGTGTAGCCTCTAGAGCACTGCTGGCCTCCTTGTACTACCACATACTCATTTCTAGAGCAGTAAGACATGCAAGTCCCCCAAACCAAGTAAGAAAATCAGATTTCACTTGTAAATCCCACCAAAGGAAAAAAGCATGCTAAACTTGGCAAGTCGAGCTGCTTCAACAGAGTACACAGGAACTTAATACATACTGTATAGTAACTTCAGTTTATAGTCATTTTAGTTTACATCAGTATTATGCCAGCTTATATAGAGACATTTTTGTTCCTTTTGGCCAGGTAGGCTGGGTTTTTCTTCCTTTGGGAAGGTGTTGTTTTATTCTTTCAAATCATGAAAAAACAACCCTTTGTCTTCTACAAAATCTTAAATCTGCCTTTCTCTCCCTCCCCTCCAGCAGACCAGAAGTTTGTGAACTCCTCTAAAACAGCTAAATCAAGACCCCTATTCTTCAAGTTTAGAAGCCCTTACTAATTGCTTTTTTCTCTTCTGGCAAATTTGAAGAATTTTTATTAGTTGTTCTGATCTTTTTTTTTTATCCTCTACATTCTGACACACTTGAATTTGAATACCCTTTCCTCATTAAGCTTTTCAGCCAACCTATGGAAGTCTTATCCATTACATCAAGACACCGTCTACATATTTTTTTTTTTTTTAATCCTGCCTGAAAGTTAAACACTGAAGTTTTACCAGTTTTCAGACTGTTCTAATACTGTAGATAAGAGATGCATTATACATAAGAAACTAGCAAAATGCAGGTGTTGAGGTTTGGAACTGCAGGCTCTAAAACAAGACCAGAGGTCCTGGGGCGCTCCTGCTGTGGGATCAATAGAAATCCACAGCTCATTAAACAACTCACTCACATACAAACAGCAAGCTGTCTTAAGCAGCCATATTCTTGACCTGAAAGCTCCAAAATACTCTGCAGTGGCCTCGATGGGACTAGAGGAACATGAGTATTACATTTCCAAGGTGGTTAAATTTACCATCGTCAGCTCTTTGCAGTAGTTGTGAAACTGCTCATACACCGGATGAATCAGGGGTATGTTAATACAATGCATCTTTATAGTGCACAACAACGGAACAACTCTGTCCTGCTTTGCTTTTAGAAGCTCTTAGACATACAGTTCCATGTTTTATTTTGAAAAAGCAAAACTTCCTTAAAAATACAAAGTGTCATTGCTGAAGTTTAATAAAATAAAACTAGGCAGTTAATTCAATTCAGCAAACTAGCTGCTTGCTCTATCACTGTACACATTTACAGGATCACTAGAAACATTTCACTGGACAATTAAGTGAAAGCTTTCACTTGTAATCTTCTTTACATCATTTACTTCTAACAGCAATACCCCTGTATTATGAAGTTCTCAAAATGCAAACACTTGTTTATAATTTTCTAGGAAAGATTTTCACACTAGGAAGACTTTTTTTTTTTTTTTCCCCACTTCCACAACTGGTGGTGGTTGCTGCAGGGATTTGGAATTAGTCTCAATTTTAATTAGAGCGATTTCTACATACCAAGAACTGAAAAAAGATTTGCTTTCTCACTAAACAAAGTTTTGTTCAGGGAATGAACAGAATAAGCTGTGTCTTTAAACCAGGTACTGTTCCCCTTGATGGCACAAGCCACGAGTCAATATAATAAACACCTCAGAGACCACGCTGCAAACCTGCTAAAGGAAGTTCCTGCGGTGCTGACACGGGCTCTGGTACAGAGCTGTGAGTGGCTCCAGTCTGCTCTCAGGCACCAAAAACACACCCTGACACGGCAACGGGGAACAAGCTGTAAGACTTCTGCTCGCTGTTAACTAACACGTGGCAATGGTTTGCCCGGAAACCAAATTTATGCGTTAAAACGTGGTTTCAAAATTACTATGAGAACAGACACTTCTCAGAGACTACAAGGACAGAGCATCCTCAAGTCTTCTAAAACCAGGTCACAGCTTGGAGCGACTGGAATGCGGGAAAGCTTAAAGCGTTCTTAGACAATTTAGAAACCTTTCCTCCTTCCCGCACGCGACACCCTCGCAGATAGATTATCACCGCACTCACGCCCTGCGGTATTCAGCCTATCTGCCGTGCTCCAAAGCAAGCAATATACTTCGTAGGGCGAAAACAAGCCGACATCTGCTTCTGCAAGCCTTTGTGCTGAATCCTCCCTCTTACAGCTTCACAGGAAGTAGCTGGGGCCCCTCGCTTCCCTTTAGAAGAAACACGGCGGGAGAAGGTGCTTCCCAGCGCTAGGCCCTTCTCCCCGCGCTGGAGTCCCTGCAGGAGCTCTGGGGTCAAGACGGGCGAGGCACCCGTGGGCGCCGCGCCCGGCCCTGGGGCTCTCCCCATGTGCCCCAAGCGTGGCCTCAGCCCCAGGCAGAACCGACGGGAGCGCAGTGTGGCCGCTCCCCGCCCAGCCCCCGGGGAGCGGGACAACTAAACTGAGGCATGGCTAAGGCAGGAGCCGCACGCTGGCTTCTATCCGGCACTACGGGAGGTATGAGGCTACTCAGGGGGGATCCGATCTCCTCGGCCTGAGACTACATCCCCGCCCCGCCCCCCTCTCGGCCCTCAGCCGGAGCCCGCACCTCCCGCGCCTGAACAAAGCCCCGCCGAGGACTCCGCGCAGCCGGAGTCCCTCCCGCCCCGCCGAGCGTCCCCAGCCACCCCACCTGGAGCTAGGCTTGGCCGCCTCAGCCTCAGTGCCCTGGAACATGGTGGCACCCAGGAGCTGCACTCCACAGCCCACTGCAACCGCGCCGCGGGGAGAGCCAGCCACCCCGCCTTGCCCGGCCGTTGGCCCATTTAGCTGCCCATCATGACGAGCAGCCTATCGAACGCAGTCCACCCAACTCGAGATCCCGCCTGGTCATCCAGCCTTGCAGAGGGAGGGAAGCTTAAAACTACCCGGGTCTGCGCTCTTCCTGAACGCCTTCCATTGGTTACACTGCCTGTCCGTCAGAGGCAACTGCACAGCCATTGGCTGAAGGAAGGGCGGGGCGAGCAGATGAAGGGCATTTAAGGGACGGGGCGGGGTTGCTGTATGGGCTGTAGTAGCCGAGGGGGGTACCTCTCTCTTAAGCATACAGTCGGGACCTTATGTAAGGGTTTCACATCGAAATGGTGATGCAAAGCAGCAAACTGGAGGAAGATCGTAGTACGGAATAACCTCAGAGAGGATCTCGTAACCTGCTGCCCTCCACAGCGTTTCCGAGTTCTAGGATACCCGAGCAGCAGTCCCGAGCCTCACCCGTAGCCGGCAGCCCTCGGCAGCCCCTCAGGCGCAGAGGGAGCGTTGCGCGGCGTAGCGCGGGAGATTTAAGTGGCTCCAGGGAGCGCGGGCAGTTTGCTCAGTTTCCGGTCATTACAGTTGCTGAGAAAACTTAAATGTATGGTGCCCACTCAGCAGGGAACAGAGTCCCCTAAACTCACCAGAAAAGATGTGGTGGCTCAGACTGAAGTCCCAAAAAACCATGCAAAACATGCAAAAAACCCCATGGAGCCACACAGATTTCAGGCCATAGCTCACATCTGAGACTGTCAGTGGATTGTACCAGTGATGGGCAGCTGCATCAGAAATGACCAGGTGGATGACCTGCCCAGCCTGGTAGCAGAGCTACAAGACAAACTAGAAAAGCTGAGAAGTATTAGAAAATCAAAGAAGGACACAGACTGGTGGGGCCATGCTCTGGCCTCCCTAAGACAGGATCAGCCAACAGAAAAGAGATCCTCTATCCATCCCCCATCAAAAAGCAGGTCCCAATTATGAAGTAAGAAGGAAGTGGAGGGCAGTCCATACTCGAGGAAGCAAGCCAAATTCTTCTTTGCCCACCTCACTTTTCCCTCACAGTATCCTCACAGGCAAACTCAAGAAAAGTGGGTTGGATGAGTTGACAGTGGGATGGATTGAGAACTACCTGAATGGCAGATCCCAGAGGCTTGTGATCAATAGTACAGCGTAAGGTTGCAGAACTGTCACCAGCAGTGTCCCCCAGGTCTCTCTGTTGGGCTCAGTGTTGTACAACTTGTTTATCAATGACTGGATGGAGCAAATGCCTCCTCAGCGAGTTCACTGCTGATACAAAACTTGGAGGAGTGGCTTGATACCTCAGAGGGTTGTGCAGCCCTTCAGAGGGACTTCAACAGCCTGGGAAGATGGGTAGAGAAGAACCTTCTGTAATTCAACAAGGGGAAATGCAGGTCCTGCACCTGTGGAGGAACAGGCCTGGTCAGCACTACAGGCTGGGAGCTGACCTGCTGGGCAGCAGTGCAGCAGAGTAGGACCTGGATGTCCTGGTGCACAGCTATCTGTCCCTGACCAGCTCTGTGCCTTGGGGCCAAGAAGTGCAATGTTGTCCAGGCCTTAGAAAGAGTATTGCCATCAGGTTGAGGGAGATGATCCTGCCCGTCAACCCAGCCCTGGTGAAGCCACACTGTGTACACACCTGGGCCCCACAGTACAAGAGAGACATGGAGCTCCTGGAGCAGTTCTATAAGAATTCTGCTAAGATGATCAAGGGTCTAGAGACTCTCTCTCATGAGGAAAGGCTGAGGGAGCTGGACCTGGTCAACCTTGAGAAGAGATGGCTGAGAGGGGACCTCATTAATGTGTATGAATATCTAAAGGGTGGGTATCAGAGTATCGACCAGGCTCTTCCCTCTGGTGTCAACCAGTAGAACAAGAGGCAAAGGCAGCAACTGATGCCCAGGAAGTTCTACCCAAACATGAGGAAGAAGTTCTTCACTGTGCAGTGACTGAGCACTGAAGAGGCTGTCCAGAGAGGGTGTGGAATCTCCCTCACTGGAGATATTCCAGAACCATCTGGACACAGCCCTATGCCATGTGTTCTGGTATGACCCTGCTTGTGCAGGGAAATGGGATCTGATGACCCACTGTTGTCCCTTACAACCTAATCAATTCTGACCTTTTTGTGTGTTGGGCTCCAATGCCTTACCTGACCTTGTCAGTGCACACAGAGGTTAGGCTGGGTTGGCCAGCACAGTGTTGAGCAGAGTCTAGCTGCTGTGATCCACTGCTCCCTGGCATGTGCCCATGGTGTAGTGTTTTAGATTTGCCAATTTGAGTTTCCCAGCCAATGCACTTTCTCAGTGCAACATTAAAGGTGCCTTTTTGTATGTCACAGAGACCAAAATCCTGAAAAGTGTACAAAAAAGAGTTAGTTACTGACCTAGATCACAGGAACTTCAGGCCTCGACAGTCTAGCTCGCCCAAAGCAGCATGTGCTGGGTCAGCCCACTTTTCTATGGGCTTTAGCTAGTTTTATGTGGGAAAGTTCTGAAGACAGACTATGCAGCCCTATCAGGGCTTCCTTTTTCTTGAGTGTCCTGGGGTGAAAAGGTGTTTCTGGTAGTGGCTATATAAACATGATGGCCTGAATACAACCTCCAAGCTTCATTTCTGCTTATCTGAAGCTGTGAATGGGAAAAAAACCCCAAAACCCCAAGATATACACTACCATTTTTATTGTACCTTCATGTTGGTGGTGGTTGGGTTTTTTTTTCTGGTGGTTTTCTTGTTTGTTATTCTGTTTTTCTCCCCCGTGTTACCAGTGCTCATGGACCTAGACGGGCCATTCCCGATAGCCAGCCATATGGTTTACCACATTTCTGAAACTCACCATGAGTAGACACTACTGAGAATGTAAGCTATAAAGCAAAAACAACCTTACCAAAATTTTCTCTGATCATGGTGAGACTCATAAAAATCTGGGACGGAGATGCCAGTGGGAGTTAGGTGACTGACTTCACTGCAACCAAATCAACTTGAAAGGTTTGGCCTTACAGACGAATTTTAACCCCCACTGCCACAAGGCTATGATCATTTAAATAAAGCTTAAATGAAAAAATCTGAGAGGACATGAACAGCAAGGAACACTGGACACAAGTTAGACCAAGTATTAGTATGTATTTATGCACAATAATAAAAACAGCTTTACAAGTTGAATTGGAAATTTAAACAGAAGTTTAACAGCTTTTGTATATTATATTAAATAACCAAAACACCTTTTTCCAAAATTGGTAAAGAATAAATAATATAATTTACAGTATGGTACAAAAAATAATCAGTAAGGACAGGCATTTTGCTTTGTACATACACTATATAGGTATATTTATAATCTATAAAACAAATTCACATCTCAAACAAGCCAGAAACCTTAGATGATATGGCTTAACTATTATTAAAAGAAACAGCATTAAATTTTGCTGCCAGAACCATAAGCTCTTAAGCAGTTATCATGTTTCAATAATTAATGATAACTTACTGCTGTAGTGCTTGGCAAGGTTTCACTTAGTTAACATTTGCAAATTGCTGTGAAATTAACAGATTCAAAGGTTTGAAAAGGTTAAAAAAAAGTGCAGTACTTTCCTTATAAATGCATCTGAAGTCTAAGTGTAGAAAACAAAATGCAACTGAATTTCCACTCTGGCATCTGCTGTCAGTAAATGAGATTTCTTTCTACGTTAGATTTGAATCAAGCCATTTAATTCAATTTAGAAATATAGGGGGTGTCAAAAAAAGGCTTAACAATGCTGTATGAAAAACAGTTACTATTCCTATGCTTAATAGATTTAGTGATGCAGGACAAAATGGACTGTGTGAGTGACCAGGATGCAACAACCTGCAGAGATCCCTGTCAGTGTGTGCACACTTGGATGAATCCAGCCTTGGGCTATGGTACTGCTCTGCACTCAGCCCGTGGTGATGAGACACTGAATCTTCTGAATTTACCTTGTCAACTACTCAGAACTGCCTTATTGTCACTGAGAGGGAAAAGCCTAGAACAGTTAATCCTAGACCTAGAGGCTATTAGTATCCATTAGTCCAACAGCTCATAGTGTCCCAGGAAGGTACTAACCCAATGAAGTAATTTCTACCCCAGAAGTTATACTGTGTGCATTTCAGTGCCACTTGCTTGGATGTCTGCTTAGCCTGACATTGTCCTTCATATAGATTTTGTTCCTGCTGTTGGGGAAGCTGAAATAATAAAAATTGAAGAAGTTTTGAGTATTACCTCCACCACCCCCCACATCTGTGCATGTACATGTGTGTGTACACGTGTGTGTGTGTGTATACACTACCTCCTTAGCAGTCTCAGGCACAAGCTGATGATGACTACTACTGTGAAGCATTCACCTAGAATCTAGAGCTGGTCCAATCAGAGATGTGTTTAAATGGCCTTTCACATAGAAAGGGTAACAAATACTGCATCAATTCAGAATTACCACAATGATCTTAATTACTCTTAAGCTCTTCCCTTGTCCTCAAAGGCCTTTATTCTTAAAAAGCGGTTTGCAATGCATTACATTTCTGAAATTGAATTCTGTTTCATAATGACAACTTTTAAGGCGCTGATGCTGAACACATTTCTAACCTCAACATTCTGAGTGCTGAACTGATTTCTGTAATTTATACTCTATTACTGAGAGGGTCAAGCCCACTTGCAAAGGTTCAGGGTATTAGAAGTTTTCTGATGTCATGGCATCATCAAAAATAGCCACTTGTGCTGCCTTCATTCTGCAATTGTGTCCTTCACTCTGGGTGGGCTGAGGCAGGGCAGCTGACAGCTCCTTGTATTGCAGGCAAAAAGCCTTCATGGATCAGGATGAAATGCTCTGCTCTCTGCTCCTGTGGCAGGTGCAGCAATACTGGCCTTTATTCTAGTCAACTTCAGAGCCAAACCCAGTGTCATATCTGCTGCATTACCAGCAATATGGAAGATGAAAAGTTTGCCAAGTTACATTTATACTGGAGACCCTCATGTTACTCT